TACATATATTTAAGCAAATATATGGATATAGATCCGACAGTATGAAGAAAAATATACTGAAAGAAACAAACAAAAATCCTAATAGGCAATTATGCTGTTTTAATGTTAATATAATGTCAACGTCGGACGTTTCGGTTTAATAGACCATCTTCAGGATATATTTATAAAACATAATTAACATAGACCACATACAATTCAACATGAAAAAGACGATAGACATAAAAGCAATACCAATCCAAACAGATAACTGAAATCTTCCGTTTAAATATGATCACGTCATCGTCACGTGGGCGATGTTTTTTTTTACATACATATATATATATATATATATATATATATATATATATATATATATGTATATATATATATATATATATATATGTGTGTGTGTGTGTGTGTGTATGTATACATACATACATATAAAGAATAAGATATAATATATATACTAAAACAAATCCACATTATAACCAAAAATATTTGCGGTTTCTAACTTTTTTAAAATATACATTTTATATACATCGTTGGAACAACTATAACCTTTTCCATATATATATATATATCAGAAGACATATTTTCCATGACATTTAGTCCGGTAAATGTAGTTAATACTGTTTATTAAAAACAGGGCACTTACTTAAATATTTTGTCCGTATTAATTATATTTCCTGGCCTGAATGTTCCAATAGGAATCGATACTGTGTTTTACACGGAATTGTAATTTGATCTGACGTGCTATACCACTCAGCTACAGAGAAAGCGTCTGGTTAACCAAGTCCAAATTAATGTTTTTCAACAACAAAACTTCGACGATCTTTCCCGATATGTGCTCTTGTCGTAAACAAGGACAACATATGTTCGGTAATTGTAATTTATACTGTTTAGTTAAAAACAGATCATTTACTTTCTATCTATTAAAATAACTTAAATAATAAAAAAAAAGTAGAAGCAAAAGTCCATGGCTGACTATGAAGGAGCGATGATAGAGCTGTGAAAGCTTGCAAACATTAATTCCAAATCTTCTTATTAATTGTTTCTTTCCGTTTATGTTGACGTTCCACAGTACTTCAAACAAAAGGCTAGAAAGGAAACCCCCATCAATACTGAAAAGAGACATTAAGAGCTACTAGACTAAAAAAAAACAAAAACATTTCCTTTAAAAGAAATTGTTGTACGAGAAATTTTTTTAAAAATTTCAGCCGATAACAGTATTGGCTGCTTGGTCAAAAAATGTACATCCAAACATATAGACATACGAGGATAGGCTGAAAAGTTCATAGGCTGAAAAGTTGATAGGCTGACTATGAAGGAATGATGCTAGAGCTGTGAAACCTTGCATACTTTGATTTCTACTCTTCATATTAATAGCTGCATTGGTTTTCCTGATACGAGTAATGTCTTTGATGGAACTTGACCCCTTTCGTCATTTTTACTTGCCGTTTGAACTTGATAGCCTTTTGTAACTTCCTCGTCAAGTTTCAAATAGTACTTTCCATTGATGGTGGGGCCCTTTTGAAGAGAGTCAATAAATACAATGTCTTTTATATCCCCCCAAAATTGATGGCATCACCTTACCTGCACATAAAACGATACTGGCCTTTTCTTGGAGCAGGTGGAGAGGTGTGTTCTCATTGCATTTATTGTCTCTCTGGCTCAAAGTGATCAGTTTTTAAAAAAATATTATTCAGTATATTTATTTACATGGTTACGTAACCGGGTCGTTAGAACGTTCACTTTTTGATCACGGGACCTGGTTTCGAGTCTCACCAGGGTCGATTCCTCAAAATGGTGCGTTGTTGATGTTATTGGTCTGGAGGAGGCAATTTCCGCGCTCATCACCTTTGGAAAGTACCTGATATCCATAGCACGGGTTGATCTAAGCCTTGCGAATGAAACTGGGTAGAGAGAACCCTTGGGGATCCGTCATTGGTTGTGCTAGCACGAAGCGACAAGTCACCGTGACTGTGGGTTTGAGGGTGCTGGCCTTGTGCAGACAGTTGATCAGGCTAGATAACGCGATCTCTCCCAGAAACTGTAGCATAGTTGCAGTATAAACCACAGGTCTCCTGTCTGCAACAGGGATCGGCGTGCCGCCGTAGTAAACGGGTTTCCTTGGATACAAGGGGCCCAGCCATCTAACCATGAAGATGATTTTTTGGCCATTTCCTTTTCACCATATATCAGAATTTAATTGATTCTTAGATTTCTCTCCAAATATGCACAATAGATGGATAGAACGTCCGCTTTCTAACCATGAGATTCAGGTTCGAATCTAAACATGATCGATTTGTTAGGAAGGGGACTTCTTGATGTTATTGGTCTGGGTAAAGGCGATCCCAGAGTGGGAAAGCATATCACAGGTTGACCCAAATCTTGCGAATGAAATTGGGTAGAAGAACCTCTTTGGTGAGCCGTCGTTGTGGTAGTCATCGTGACCGAGGGTGTCGGCGTGCTGGCCTTTTGCAGACTATCACGATAGATAAAGCGCTCTCTCCCAGAAGCTCTAAGGCTCGCTCAGCATATTGCAGTATAAATCGCTTCTGTCGGTGATAAACAAACACAAATGTGCCTGAGCAGGCGTCTGCAATAGGGATTAGCTTGCCGCCCTGGTAGAGGGATAACCTTGGATACAAGTGACCAGCCATCCATATTTATTTATTTTCATCTACAGTCCTGAATATTCGAAAATCTTATTAAAGACAAAATTAACGTGAAGTAGTAAAATCTCTCAGATTAAAAAAAACGACTATTATTTGTCTTAATATATATATATATATATATATATATATATATATATATATATATATATATATATATCACTTTTGCCAACAGTCGAAAAAAAATGAGATCAAGACTCAGTAGAAATGGACAAGGAAATATTAAAAGAACATAAGGAAATTTTTATTCCTTTAAAAACTGATTCTTTTAACTTGCCTGAAGAAGCTCACGAAACCGGAAACCCGTGTAGCAACAACAGGAAGAATAAAATATAATATATACACTAAAACAAATCCACATTATAACCAAAAACGTTTGTGGTTTCTCTCTTTTTTGAAAATATACATTTTCCTCCGTTGGAACCATTATAACCTTTTTCATATATATATATATATATATATATATATATATATATATATATATAGTATTTACATTAGTCGGACTATTGTCCTCATCTTTGTCGCCATATTTGTCACAACGTTTAGGCCGTTTATCCAAATAATTATTATTTATTCCTAAAATTTCGCTTGAAGATGAAACGGGACTAAATACCTCAATTCAACTTAATTTTAATAATTATTTGGATGGTTTAGGCTCTCCTTTTTGAAACATGAGAACTCTTATGTAGCGAAGAAATCATATTTTTAAACAAAAAATATTATTATAATATAAGCTCTACTTATGTATGGAGCACTGTCTTCTTAAAAATAAAAATATTGGGAACTCCGGATTATGCACCCAATGTGTTCTTTTTTATTTTCTGCATATTTTCTGCATATATATATATATATATATATATATATATATATATATATATATATATATATATATATATATATATATATATATATATATATCATACGTTATTTTTATAGATATAATTTATTTAAGTAATGTCCGTTTTTTACTTAAACAGTATTAATTACATTTACCGGCCTGAATGTTCGAGAAATTTCGTAGAAAACATGCGCTCTCTGACGGGAATCGAACCTCTAACTCTTGATTTGACGTGCTGTTAACCATTCTGCCACGAAGAAGTGTGTGGTTTTCAAAGTCCGAATTACTA